TATCTATCTATCTATCTATCTCTATCTATCTGTCTATCTATCTATATATATATTTAATATATTATAATAAATAAATAAATATTTAAAAAAAAAATTTGTGAGATGTAAACTCAGAATTCAGAGAAAAAGTCAGAAATGCAAGGTATAAACACAGAATTGTGAAATATAAATGCACAATTGCAAAAAATAAAAAAAAATAAAATCTGAATTGTGAGATAAAAAGTCAAAATTACCGTTATTTTTTATTACATGGCAGAAAAAAAAACAGAATTGTGAGATGTAAACTCAGAATTCAAGTCAAGTCACCTTTATTTATATAGCGCTTTATACAGATTGTGTCAAATCAGCTTTACAGTGTTAGACAGGAAAAACGTGTGCTGATAATGCAGGAGGACAATAAAAAACAGGCCGTTTTCTCAGTTCAGTCCTCTTCCAATAGTGTCTGTGCAGTCAAGTCAACTATGTTGCCAGAAATGGTGTCCCCAACTAAGCAAGCCAAAGGCGACAGTGGCAAGGAACCAAAACTCCATCGGTGATAGAAATGGAGAAACCAGGTTAAAGAGATGGGTCTTTAATCTAGATTAACACTGACAGAGTGTGTCTGCCTCCCGAACAACGCTAGGTAGATTGTTCCAGAGTTTGGTCACTAAATAGGAAAAGGATCTACCGCCCACAGTTGATTTTGATATTCTAGGTATTATCAAATGGTCAGAGTTTTGAGATCGCAGCGGACGTGAAGGACTATAATGGGATAAGAGCTCACTCAAGTACTGAGGAGCTAAACCATTCAGGGCTTTATAAGTAATTAGCAAAATTTTAAAATGTACATGTAACATGTAAATGTACAATGTAAATGTAAAAACGAAGAATTGACAGCACAGCCATCAAATGTTAGTGTTCTAGTATTCCATGCATATTCCATGGTATTCCATGCATACAAAAAATTCACATACTGTGCACATTAAGAATAGGATGCTAGTATACTATTCTGAACACAGCCATGCTCTTTGTGCTGTATATGACGCATTGAAGAAATAATCCATCCTATGGTTGGGTTACAAAGAATTCAGGATATATTTCCAGACAAAATCCATTTTGTACATCAATATTGGGTCATTATGTGATCAGCTAGATTTATAAGAACCATCGAGACATTTCTCAGACAAAAAAAGAAACGCTTTAAAGTTTTACCGATACATTGAACAGAAACTTGTCACGGAAAAGAGAAACAGCCCAGTGTTTTCTCTCTCAGAGGAACCTGATCTGGCAAAAAGCTCCAGTTATCCTTCAATTATGAAAAAGCCGCTTCATCTGAATTGATGTCTGGACTTGTGAGTTGTGTGCGCTGTTTGCTTCAACTTCTCAGTTGCTCTCACTACCTGAAAAAAAAACTGTTAGAAGACGCTGCCAAATTTCAGTTTTCACACTGAGCCCCAGGACCAGTAAATACACACAAGCTGTCATGAATTACTTTCATGTGGCAGAGAATAGAACCAGGAACACGCCGTGCTTGACTGTCTTTAGTACGTGTT